AGTTTAGGGAGTAAATAAGAATTTATCGCTTCTATTCTTCCCAGCCAGGACAATTCCAATCCCTTCCAATTTTTTAGGGTATTCCTAAATTGGGTAACTATTTCTATATAATTAAGTTCACCAATTTCCCTATAATCCAAAGATAGTCTTACTCCTAAGTATTTTATGTTCCTTGCTTCCCAATCGCATTTAAATTCCTTTTTAAGTTTTTTTACCCCAGGCCCATTTAGACCTCTTATCAAGATTTGTGATTTATTTAAATTTGTTTTATAGCCTGAGAATTTACTATACTCATTAATAAGACAAAATACAGCTGGAATAGATCTAATGGGATCTGTAAGAGTTAGTAGAACATCGTCTGCATAAAGTGCAATTTTGTTCTCCAAACTATTTATTTTTAGCCCGCTGATATCTTCATTCTGCCTAATCGCGGCTGCCAACGGTTCTATAGAGAGGATGTATAACAGAGGTGCCAGAGGGCAGCCCTGGCGCGTCCCATTTCTAATTGGGAACCAATTTGATTGAAACATAAAACCTAAAACTCTGGCTTGAGGATCTTTATATAACGCCATTGTACACTCTTTGAAGAAACCCTCAATGCCGAAAGCCTTCAGAACCTCTTCCAAATATTTCCAGTTAACGCGGTTGAAGGCCTTTTCGGCATCAAGGGTTACCATAGCGAAAGGGGACACACTTTTGTCTGCATGGTATAGAACATTCAGTAATTTCCTAATGTTATCTGATGTACCTCTGCCTTCCACAAATCCACTCTGATCTTTATATACAATATCAGGTAAATTTTGTTTAAGTCTGTCGGCCAAAATTCTGGAGTATACTTTAATATCTAGATTAATAAGAGAGATTGGTCTATAGTTCGAAGTATACCTTGGATCCTTTCCTGCCTTAGGGATTGGAATTATAGAGGCCTGAAGTAATTCAGATGGAATAGTTTTATAGCTGTCAAATTCTTTAAATGTATTCAATAAATATGGGGAAATTATATCATTTAGTTTTTTATAAAAAATCGATGTAAACCCATCTGGGCCTGGTGCTTTGCCTGGTATTAATACTTTAATAGTGTCGCTAATCTCCTGAATAGAAAATGGAGCATTAAGCTGATTTAATTTATCGATAGAAATCTTTGGCAAGCCTAATTTATCCAAGAAATCCTTTAATTCCCCTGCAGATGGCTCATTAAGTTTTAGATTATATAAACTTTTATAATATTCTTCGAATGCGTTAGCTATTTGGGTTGGTGAAAAAAGTTTTTTATTTCCAGCTATTATGTAGTTTATAGATTGAAGTTTGTTTTTATGTTTTAGTTTATTTGAAAGATTTTTCCCTGTTTTATTATTTCCATAATACCATCCCTGCTTTAATACTAACATTGCTTTATCAATTTTTTCTTGAGTTCTTATTAATATTTTTTTCCTAATCTCCTTAATGTCCTCTAAAATTCTATGGTCTAAAGTAATCTTATGTAGACATTCTTGTTTTGCTAAGTCAATATAAAGCTCATTCAACTCTTTTCCCTTCTTTTTCTTTGTATTGGCACCCAATTTTATAAGACACCCTCTCATATATGATTTAAAGGTACACCACAACATAGCTTTAGAGACATCCCCTGTATCATTATTTTCAAAAATTCTCTGGCCTGAATACGCAGTTCTTCTACATTACTATCTGATTTTAATAGAGTTTCATTTAGTCGCCATCTATCTCTACGTTTGTATTCCACGTTGTTATTTATTACTAAACTAACTGGTGCATGGTCAGAACACGTTATGGGCCCAATTGTCACCTTGTTAATTCGCTCTAGTGTTTCAGCTTTAACCAGAAAGTAATCAATTCTAGTATATGACTGATGAACATTTGAATAGAACGCATAGTCTCGCTCTTCTGGGTTAAGTATTCTCCAGGAATCGTATAAACAGTTTTTTGCTAAAAAAGTCTGCATCATTGATGGAACTATTTTTTGGTTGTCCTCCTTATCCATGAGCTTAGTTCTATTCCTATCCACTTTGTTATCTATAATGCAGTTAAAATCCCCGCTGATAATTAGGCTTCCAGACGACACGCGGTCCACCTTTTGCATCAGGCTGCCCAGAAATCTATATGGAAGTTGATTTGGAGCATAGACATTTACCAATGTATATAAAATATCATTAATTCTAACTATCACTATAAGAAATCTACCACCAGAGTCAGCCTCTTCATAAACCAATTCGTATTTCAAACTACTTGAGAAGAAGATTGCCACTCCTCTTTTCTTATTCTTTCCTACCAGGTTGGATCTATGTACCACTGGAATTTTTTTATAGTTCCATACATTAGATAAAGAGTTAACCCAATGTGTTTCTTGTACGAAACCAATATCCGTTTTACTGTCTATCAATAACTTATACAAATAACCTCTTTTCTGTCCTGAGTTCAAGCCCCTTGCGTTAATAGATAGTATATTAAGTGTCATCCTGCCGCACTTCACCCCCCTTCCTCCTCCCACCTAGCCTCCCCTCAGGTAGTATCCAACACACAAATCCACTCCCCAAACCTTCCCCATTCACCCATCGACTCATACCTTCCCCAGTTGGAAATATAAAATTAAACCTCCTGGGGAAGTTCAAACAACAATCTCTCAAGACATTTATCCCAAAATATGAAGTACTAAATATAGTCTTCATATCTAACCCTGCTGCCGTCGCAGGACCTTGAACCAGGCTAGTGGGCCATTTACCTCGCCCTACCCCAAATGGGGAGAGAGAAAAAAAAAAAATTTAATTTATAAAATCTTGTGAGTATTATGAACCGCCTTTCCGTGCATTTCATGCATCTAATTTTAATTATGTGTCTAATAATCACTATCTTTAATCTTTTCATCCAATTTTTATTACTTTAAGTGTAAGTCTATCTCCTTATTCTTCAAATTCTTTACTTTTAATTTTATTTATAAATATTCACAAAATATCTACTAATACAGTTACTATTAAGTTATTAAGTATTATTTATAAAGACCCCTTTGGTGAATACAAGCAAAACTCCGCTACGTTGGTTCTATACAACTAAACCTAATTTTGTGTCTATATATATAAGTTTTAACTTTAAACTATTCTCCTCCATACTCAATAATTTTGATATAAATATATCCTTATTGTTAAATTGTCGGTGTCACTCAATATCACTCTAATACATTTACATTCCCACCACACCGTGAAAAAAAAAACAAAAAAAAACAAATTTAATAAATTTGCCATTTTACGTCTTTTCTTTCCTCCCTCCCCCCTCAAGGGGTAATTTTAAGAGTTATCAATTTCTGCTTAAGTGCCGTATTGTCCTTGAAGATGTATGATTGATCTTTTAAAAAGACCATAATTGCCGTCGGAAACAACCACTTGTATCTTATGTCCTTATCCCTAAGGATTGCCATTTCTTCTGAGAAAGATCTTCTTGCTTGTCTTGTTTTTTGGGATAAATCTTGAAAAACTTTTAAATGTCTCCATTCTTCAGTATCTAAAATCCCATTCCTAATTTTCTGCAGTATTAGATTTTTTATCCGAAAACTGGAGAAACAGATCATAACGTCCCTTGGATAAGATTTATCGATTCCATTTGGTCTGGACATTCTATGAAATCTTTCAAAGGTTTCAGGGCCCAGCGTCTGTCGAGACAAAATTCTTGAAAAAAAGCTGTCCAGATAGAAATATAAGTCTTCTTGTGTTGTTGATTCTGGTATACCTCTAACTCTTATATTATTTCTCCTGGAACGATCTTCTAAGTTTGTCAATTTAATCTCGACATCATTCAGTCTTTTCTCTAGCTGTATATTAAATAGTTTGATCTGTTCATATTCATCTTGTACTTTTTGTAGTATAATTGCCTGACTTGAGATTTTCTCAGAAAGAGTGGCAATTTCCAGTCTGAGATCATTTGTATTATGTTCAATATCCGTTTTAATTTTTTTATACAGATTGTCCAACATTTGTGTTAATAATTGTTGCGTTATTCCCTGTGTATTTGGCAGATGCAGATAATCATCCTCGGATATATCTGATATTTGATGTGTCGAGAGCTCAGCATTTTCTAAAGGCAGAGATTTTCGTTGCCTCTCTGCTTCTACAGATGGCATTTTAGGAGAATAAAATGTGCCAATTGTTGCCTTCTTTCTCTCTGTGATTTGGGCTTTCTCTTTCTTAGGAGCCATGTGTAATAATAATAAATCTGTCAAAATTTTCTTCGTCAGTCAAAAAAAAGAAAAAAAATAATAATAATTTTATCTTCCTTTTTCCTGTTGCTTAGAGATACTATGTATTTCTTTGGCACATATATCTTTAATAGGCTTCCTTCACCTTCTTTCTTCCTTTCTTCTCCTTCCCTTCCTCCTGTTTCCTCTCTTTTTCTCTCTTTTGTTATGACTTTATTGTGACTTTAAGTTGCAGATAGCTATCCCTTTAAATAGCAATCCTTAAATTATCACTTCAAATATAAGATAGAGATAGAGGTCAATGGAGGTCAGTAGCGAATAGATGGGAAAGTGACCATTTACTCACAAATACTGTTTTATAGTTCTTAAAACTGTACTCTTATCCATTACATCACAGTACCAGAAGCCAAATTAATAAAGGATACCTATAAACTGACAGTCAACCTGTCAGCTCATTAATAGCCCAATCTCCCTTTTTTTTTTATGCCATCAAAAAGATTTACTGCAGTGTTAAAACTTTGAAGCATTAGGCAGTAATTGAGAAAAAAAAAAATTTCCGTTACTCAGCCGCCTAGCAGGATCGGCAGCCTCAGATCGTTTCCTCCACCTCCACTTCAGCACTTCAGCACCGCACCGCACCGCAGAGCTGAGCTGAGCGTCCTCACAGCCTTGATGTCTCGCCGCTCTTTTGCCCCACTTCCTGGTCCGAAAAAGCGCGAGGTCCTGCCGCTGACGTACGCACCTACGTCACGTACCGCCCGCCCTCCATCTCGCACATAGCGTGGAAATGTGTTTCGTTATCTAAGCTCACTACAGTTTCAATGTGACTGATGTATCAAGTTGCATTCAATTTTGCTTTTCTGGCTGTGCATATACATTATGTGAAATTCATGGAAGTAAATAAGATAATGATTGCCATTTGTGATGGCAGTAAAACTGTGAATAATTTTTTAGTGTGGTCATTGTTTCTTTTTTCACATTTTGTTCTCCATAATAAGTATAGAGCCCATTTAAAAGATTAGATATACATGTTTATTTCCCCCTTTGGTTTATTTCCTCTAATATAACTCTTACATGATACTATCAGGTGAATAAATTATCATGCAAAATGTGTTAAGCCTGAGAGGGTTATTTACTAAAATGAGAATTCCAAATAATGCAAATTTAATTGATAGGATACTATAGTCACCAAAACAACTTTAGCTAAATGAATCAGTTCTTGTGTATAGATCATGCCTCTAAAGTTTAACTGCTCAATTCACTGCCATTTAGGACTAAAACTTTTGTTTTTGTTAATACATCCCTATCCACACCTTCCCTGGAGGTGCCTGCATAAAAACAAAATGGTTTCATTTTCAATTAAACGTAACTAACTTTAAAAGTTGAATTTTTATTTTTTTATTTATATTTTTGTCGTGCATAACAGTACAACAGTGCTTGCACTGCCACAACAGCAGTCACAAGCTCAGGCATTGTAAGCAGGATGAAATAAGTATAGCATGCATAAATTGAGCACATTTTTCCACACTAGGTAGCAGTTACAAGTCGTGTGGGTGCGTGGGCTATCCTCGTTAGAGAGTCGTTTAAGATTCATTGAAGATCTAAGGGGTAACATGAGGTATATTACATGGTTGAGATTGCATACATTTTTGCCAGGATTTCCAAGTAACGGAGTTTATCCTATACTTATTTGTTAAAGAGTATGTGAGTTCCTCCATCTGACTCACCGACTCCACCCATTGGATCCATTTCCTGACAGTGGGTGCTGATGAGCGTTTCCAACAGGATGGAATGAGGAGATTGGCTGCTGTGAGGACAGTTAACTAAGACACGTTGGGGTTTTTTCATGGGCGTGTGGTGCAAGAGAAATAACATCGCTACGGGGTCTTCGGGATGAGTATGCCTGTGATCATGTGTAAGAGAGTCCTTACCCTATCCCAAAACCCCTGGATCATTGGGCATTGTCACCAGATATGACCTCTGTAACCGCGGCTGGTTCCCTTATTTACCACTATAACGTCTTAAAGCATAGAACTTAGTAGGGCTAACCATACAGATATCTTAGCCATAATTTCATATAGTTAGTAAGAGATCCTCTATTTAACATATATAAATAATTGAGAATACAATATAAAATAAGGATTGTCTTGGAAGCAATAAAGTTTTGTCTTTTTAGATATTTATTATATAAAAATATAAATATAGACATATAAAATCCATTACAATAATTTATAGCATAGTTTATCACATTAAACTAAATACTTGCAAATATCATTAAAAGGTCAACATACCCTCCTGAACATGTCATCATGTCAGCCTCTCTGTCATTTTAAGATGGAGCATGGTCTGTCTCCAAGTCTCTCCTCTGTTCCTTAACATTTAAAAGTACACCTATCTATACCTTAGGTGTCTTCATTTTATGGTCACCGTAGTTCATATATGAAAAAGTAACACTTCTTTTACTTTATTCATTTTAGGACCTCCCTTAACTTGGCAAAAATACAAGGCCATAACTAAAGGGTGTACACATCATGGAAATTTTCCTGGCTTAGGTCAAGATGGCATCTTAAAGTCTCAACATCTTTATTTACTTAGGGTTACTGCAGTATATTATGTACTGAAAGAGTCGTAGCATAGCCTTGAAGCTTGTTATGTGCATTATTGTTATTGTAATTCATCTGGGACAAAATGGCGTAAACATATTATGCACTGAAGGTAGGTAAAAGGTTATTGCTTGAAGGAACAGTTATGAAAAACAATATGTTCCATTCTAACATATTGTCAGTTTGCAATATCTCTTAAATACAAATTACACAGTTTGAGAAATACAATATTTGCATTTGCCCATAACACCTCTGTCTTGATGGCAACGCCAACATACCTCCAGGTTCCAGGGAAGAATCTACCTAACTTCATTGGAGTGTCGTGCCACCTTGAGAGTCTTTTGTATTTGCTCTCATGAATACTATTGCTTGTTGTGGACTTATATAGGTTAGAAAAATGTGTTTCCACTCTTCCCCTTATATGGAGAGGCTCAAGTCGTCCTCCCATTTTTTTCGTGAAGGGTGGAAGGTCGGGAGCCGCTCCCTGGTTTATATACTTATAAAATGTAGAGAGGTGTTTGTTCTTGGTTGTGTGTGACACGCAGGTCCTTTTGAATGTTGTGCTCAGTCTGGAACCATGAGTTAGCCCCGGGAGAGAGGAGATAAAATGGGTCAGTTGATGGTACCTGAATTGGTGCTTGGGGGATGTGTGTGTGGGGGAAGAGTACATCTTTTAGGGGTTTGATCCCCATCTCAGCTAGGAATGTCCCCAGTTGTAGGTATGGTGAATCATGGAAGATCTTGAAGGGTTGACTGTGACAGCCGGGTTGGGGAATAGTGGATTTTTGGTCAGTGGAGTATAATGGAGATGGGTGGGGAGAGATGTTTTTGTCTTTCTGATGTGGTTCCATAGTGGTTCCATAGTTTCAGCACCATGGGGTGCAAGGTATGTGTCGGTTCTAAGAGTGGGATTCCAGTCTTGTGCCAGGGGACCGTGTGTATGGGCGCTAGCAGAGCTAGTTGCTCAAGTTGGACCCATTGTTTTGTTGGCGCACTTGCCGACCATTTGTAAATTCTAGTGAGAATGGTGGCCTTATGGTATGATTCCACCTCTGGGAGGTTTAAACCACATAGAGTTGTGTGCTTTGTCAGGAGTCTGTATGGTATCCTGGGATTTATATTGGCCCATATCTAGGAAGTGAAAAGTATTTTCACTGTTGAAAGAAAAGAGCTGAGAGGGCTATTGGTAAAGTTTTCAGAAGGTATAGGATCTTGGGGAGGATGTTTATTTTTAAGATAAGTATCCTACAAAGTCATCCAAAGTGGGGCTTGCTCCAGGCTTTCATGTCTCCTGAGATAGAGTCTAGTAAGGATGGAAAGTTCAGGTCAAAGAGTCTGTTTAGGGGTTCGGGGTAAGTGCACTCCCAGGTATTTTGCTCGACATAGGGGCCCATTTGAAGCGGTATGTGGATTGTAGGTCTTTCTGGGTGTCAGGTACAACTTGCAGGAGGAGTATTTCACTTTGGGCGAAGTTGACCTTAAAGTTGGAAATGCGATTATAAAGATAAATCTCTTTGACTAGGTGAGGGAGGGATTGTATTTGGTCTGAGAGGTTGAATAGTAGATCATACCCAAATGCAGAGACTTTGTAAACTGTGTGTCCCTGACTGTATGCTCGTGATCTGTGGGTGATCCCTAATACCTTGTAGAAATGGTTCTAAAATTAATATGAACAGAAGCAGGGAGAGTGGACACCCCTGCCTCGTGCTGTTCACAATGTGGACCAGGTCTGAGAGTTGGCCATTGATTCTGATTTTTAGTAGTGTGTGTGGAACTGCACTCACTCCCATAAATCTGAGCCAGGGTGCTTGGTGAACCGGAATCAAACACCAGATTTCCAAAAATTAATAAAGTAATAGTGGTCCAGGCACTCGTTGGTTCTAGACAGGTACTTTATTAGGAAACACAACAGCTGTTCCAGTTGGGGCCAAATCCTAGTGCTGTCAGCATCTCCAGCAAAAGTGTCCAGTACATCCTATCGAACGCTTTTTTAGCGTCAATCAAGAGGAGGATGCTGCGGTTGGTGGCAGTTTATAACTTTGGTTGTATTATTTTTTGCCTCACTTGCCATGATGAACCCGGCTTGATCTGGGTGGATCAGGTGTTCCAACAGGGGTCTAAGGCGATTGGCCAAGATTTTGGTGAATATTTTTAAATCAATGTTAATGAGGGAGATAGGCCTGTAATTCTCGCATTCAGACAGGTCTTTCCCTTGTTTGGGTTTGAGGGCGATGTGTGATTCTAGTGATGCTGCAGGGAGCATGGTGTTCCGGTTGAGAGAGTTGAACGCAGATTCAAATGGTGTTGCTAAAATGTGCGCGAAAGCGTTATAGTATTTGGCTGAAAAGCCATCGGGGCTGGGGGTTTTGCCTACAGGTAAGTGTTTTACTAAGGTTTTAAATTCCTTCCTGTTATTGGCGAGTCAAAAGTTTGTCTAATATTTGGTGGGAGCGTTTGTGTGATTCTAGTGGAGAGAAATTGGTGGATCTCTTCCCTAGAAGGTGGTGTCTGGCTGAGGTTATATAACTTTGTGTAGTATGCCTGGAATGCTATAAAGATGTCGCTATGTACGTAGGACACTTCGCCTGAGGATTGTTAAATTTTTGTTATGAACGTGCTTTGTCTATCTTTCTGTAGAGCTCTGGCTAGTAGCCTACCACGTTTCTCCCCTTGTGTGTAGTATGAGTGCTTAGTCAATTTTAGTTTCTGCTGCATTTGGGTGTTCAGTAGGTTTTGCAGTGTGGATCTCTTTTCCACAAGCTGCTTGTACAGGTCTAAATTGGTGTTCCTCTTATGGGTGTTTTCTAAGGTTCATATTTCTTGTAAGGGATGTCACTTGTGCTTACCTTTGTTTTTCGTTTTGGGACCCTAGTGCTATGAGGTGGCCCCTGGTGACCGCCTTATGTGCTGTCCATATGATTGGGAGTGAGGAACCCAAGATTGTGTTTTCCGCAAAATAATGGGTGAGAGTGTTTGTCACCTGGGAGGTGACTTCTGGTTTATTTAGCATAAAATCGTTGAGGGAGGAGGGAGGGGATATGACCGACAAGGGACAGTGGTGCATGGTCAGATCAGGTGATGGGGCCATAGTCACATATTCGGATAAGGTGTGAGATTCGCCAGCTGTCAAAAAGATGCCCATCATCTAACAGTCTGGTCATTTGTTGTCTGGCGGAGCACTGGTACGTGGAGGAGGTGGAGGTAGTGTCTAACATGGAGTCCAGAGATACGTTGAGGTCCCCGCCCATAATGAGAATTCCCTCACTAAATCTTTCAGACATCGTTGGAGAAATTGATTTTGTCTTCTGCTAGGGAGGTAGAGGTTGGCTAGTGTAACAGCAGTTTGTCCTATAAGGCCTTTTACCAGTATTCTTCTGCCACCACTGTCTGAATGTAAGTAAAGTAAAGTCTTTGTAAGTAAAAGGCGTATGTGCCGATATAAGAATGGCTAACACCCTGGTCTTCGCCTTGTCGTAGTTGCTAAGGTAACTTGTGGAATATCTGAGATTTCTGAAATTTGGGATTGCGTCGTTCCTAAAGTGGGTCTTTTGGAGAAAAGCTATTTATGCTCGGAGTTTGTGTAGTTCAGTCAGTATTAGTGAGTGTTTGGATGGGGAGTTAAGTACCCTGACATTGAGAGAAATAATCCTGATAGAGGCCATACGCCTGTGTAGGAGTGGGCAACGGGTGTACCTGTCACTGTTTCTGATGTCTACAGGTGATGTGTGTGAGTCATGCAGTCAATGTGGATACTGGTTTTGCAATAGTAAAACAAATACAATAACGTAACTATTAACAGAAAAATTGAAAGCAAATGGGAGGCTGAGTAAGGTAGCAGGTATTGTGATTTTCAATATAGCCCCGGGAGACGGTGGTGTCCCCAGGAGTAGGACGGTGTGAGCCTCTGGGGGTAAGAAAGCCAGTGCAGGATTAGGCTATACTCAGCTCGAGGTGGGGGTACAGAGCTATGCTTATAGGATTCACGGCATGTTCCAGCATAATGGCCAGGATAGTACCTCTCCCGGTCTAGAGTGGGACCGGGAGAGGTACAAACTTTGGCGATAGGTACATTGATGAAGGCGAGGGTGACAAATAGGGGATGGGAAGTATGCAGCTGGTTTTCCCCCAAGGTGACACCCCAGGACAAGGGGCAGTGGTTACATATGGCCCTCAGCAGCATTAGGGGGAGCGTCAGCTCATTGACCCTCTCATAGAGACAGTCCTTACAACAGGTCACCAAGGATTTTTTTCTTTTTTGGGGGGGCAAGGGGGGAGAGGGACAGAAAGTAGGTGGAGGTTATACATGACCGGATCTTGAAGAGCGGTGTCTGAAGCTCGGTGGAAAATCCTTTTTGGGTGGTCCTTGCTGTGTCCTTGATGGGCTGGGGCCGGGTCATAGTCCGCAGACTTTAGCTCGTAATTGTCGGCATCTCTGACATTCGTTGCTGGGCTATTGGGTAGGGTTCACTGCAACCAAGTGAGGTCTGAACCTAGTGAAATTTTGTGTCCCTTGTGCCCTGGTGCTGGCTGTGCATGGAGATGGTGCCAGGCTCATTTCGCCGTAGTTCCGGAAGTGCTATTCCCAATAATCATATGAGGCACGGTCCTGGTTCCAAGAAAGGAAAAACTAATGGGGGGGATTACAAATTGGGACAAGTGACATGAGGGTGGACTGCTGCGAGACCAGTAAGTTAGTACTACAAGGTGGTTCTTAATGACAGGTTCAGTCCCGAAGTATGATCTTTCAGGTCCGGTCTGCGTCTCTTGGACGGTGTGTGGGATCTCTTTCTTCCAGGAGTGTGGGAGGTGTTGGCATCTGCGTAGGACCGTACCAGTCGACCACCCTTACTTCAGGCAGTTACAAGCCCCTTGTAAATACCGCCACATCAGCTACATTGGAAAGCGCGTGTGTGGAGCCATTGTGCTTGGCTATTAGGTCAAAGGGGAATCCACACCTGTAGCGAATATTTCTCGATCTGAGGAGGTCGGTTATGGGTCTCAGCAGCCGCCTCACTTAAAGAGTTGACCAAGACAGGTCAGGGTATATTGGGATCTGTGCACCGTGGAATAGTAGAGGGCCTGTCTGAAGGGCCTTAAGACATCCTCTTTCACTGTGTAGTAGTGCAGTCTACAGACCACATCTCATGGTTGTTCAGCTTGTGAGCCTCTTGGGCGCAGTGTCAGCAGGTTTGTTTAGGAGGAGATTGAGCAGCTCAGAGAGGATGCCGTGTAAGTCCTCTTTCAACCTTTCTGGAAGGACTTTGACCCGTAAATTATTCCGCCTCCCTCAGTTATCCAGGTCGTCAATGGATTGGTGTAGTGCCGAGAGGTAAATATTTTGTGCGTCCACTGCGGACTTGAGCTGTTGGACCTGTGTGTGGAGAACATCCCTTTCATTTTCCAAACTGGTTACCCTGTCACCGGTCTGCTTAGCTGGTCTAGCTTAGGCTGAAATGAGACTTCCAAGGTATGTAGCATGTGCGCTAAGGCAATTTTGGAAGGCAAGTTTTTGATTGTGGCTCGAAGGACTTTGTCCAGGGTGAGCGAGGATCTATCTGAGCTTGCTGGGCTGGAGGGTGCTGAGTCTTTCAGCTGTTTATCGGCGTTATCCCCGAAATATTTGGTGAGGGAGCTTGATTTTGCAGCAGAATGTTTCTCAGTTTGTTGTTGGGAGGACAGGGATCGTTTAGGGTGCCCCATCGTGATCTGTATCGCCCGATGCCTGTGGATTTCCACCCGTAAACACAGAGCTCATTCAGAAATCTCCATGCGGGTCCGTGGCTGGCTCTGCCCCCCCTACTTTCAAAGTTTTTATCTCCTCCAGTGTACATTGATAATCATTTTAACATTTTTACACCAGAATCCTTAAGGGACAGTTTTTTGATGATGTTCCTTTCCTATATAGGACATGGGTATACAGTCTATTAAGGTCTTTATAATGTGTGGCTTATATGACTTTTTGGATACTATCAGGGCAGTTAGATCATATGTGTCTCTTAGCTGCATATGTTCACAGTGGAAGAATTTCAAAAGCACCTTATGCTCAATAATATCAGCTTAGTGTCAGGATGAACCAGTGGCCCAACACGCAGAATTAAGTCAAATACGTAACAAACAACAAACAGTAACAACGTATTACCGGGCCTTAAAATGGCTGGATTTAATGTAATAGAATAACCAGTCACAAGTCTAGATCAGGAATACTGAAAGAAACAAATACGGTAAGATACCAGAAATACGGGAAGTCAAGCCAAGATCAATAACCAATAAACAGTATCAGGAACGCGCTCTTGGATAACCAACAGGATGGAAACCACGACAGGGCATTGAACAACTGCAGGTTTGGGTTTATATAACCCAGTAAACCCTGCTATTGGCTAATTTGGGTCCCATGACCCCAGAACGGGCGTGCACGGCAAAAAAGCGACGCTGTACGCACATTCACGTCACAGGCGTCCTTCCTAATACTGGACCTGGCCGCTGTATTAGGAGCTGCACTGCAATGGTGTGACTGCACTGATCTGGTGCGGTCATACTAAGGTTCCCATCGAGCACCCTGATATTTAGGTGGAATGATCCCCACAGAGGATATATATGAGTAGAGGTAGATGTTGTGATGGTCCCTGATAAGGCTCCTTTAAAATGATAAAATAAATGCAGTATAAAAATAAAAAACATAACATTTTGAGGGTAAAAACAATATTTATTGTAATATACCACACAAAACAAAATAAAAGCCAATTAAAAAGTCCTTCTGAATAGTCACAACTGGTTTCAAGTGATCACTAACTTATTTAAGCTGAAATCATTGAGCATAAGGTGCTCTTGAAATTCTTCCTCTGTGAACACTCAAAGAGAAAAATTCCAGTTTCATCACTGAGTGGGGATTTTACCATATAGAGCCTTATCTGAGAGCTGAATTAAGGCTCTATTCATTCTTTTTCTTCAGAAGGATAGAAATATTGAACATAGTGGGTTGCACTATTGTGTTTTCTTTTCTTTTTATATTTTACATGAGATGCCAATAACTAAACTCCCTACCTCAATCAAAACCTAATTTATTTGAATGCCAAGCATCTTCTCCTCAAAGGCTTATAGAAAAAAGACCCTTTTTTATTCCTCTGGGACTTTTTAATTATATCTCAGTTATTTTTATCTCTATTTGGTTTTACTGTATATAGCTCTTAAAAAAGTCCATAATCAATATAAACAGATATATCCAAATCATCTACAGGTAGTTAAACCAACTTATTAATTTGTAGCCAGTTTTGAAAGGCAGTAGGATCTCTAAATATTTCCTTTTTTTCATTATAGGAAAATTTGATGCCCACTGGTAATGTCCAGGAGTATTTAATTTCTTTGTTTCTCAAGACTAAAGTCTGGCCTGTATATTTCTTTCGAAGATTCCTTGTACCAGCAGATAGATCAATAAAGAGCTTTAGTTCTTCATATTTTGATCCAGTCAGTGATTTATTTCTCATAGCTATCACCATTTCCATTTAAACTTATTAAGAGTGACAGCATGCAATGACAGCTCTAGGGACTTGCACAGGTAAAGCTTTAGATTTATTTACTTTATCTTTCCTATCAAAAACATTAACCTTATTGTTACATTCAAGGTCTAGGAACTGAATGAGCTCCACCATACTCTATGCTGTCTAATTCTTGTAGAAAAGACTTAGTGTCCCGTATAAAGGAGGGTGCCCCTTGAGCGTACTTTTGAAGGAAAGAGTCCACATACGCAGACAAATTAGCAGTGAGCGAGTTAACTCCACTGATAATAGGTGTGACGAGACCAATCTCGCCACATTGCATTGGAGAAGCCTGGTTACTCGCCTGCTGCCTTTGGACTATGGCCCCCTGTTAAAAGACATCTTTTCTACCTGCAGAAAAGTTTAATTCGTGCTTTTCTGCCTGGGGTTCGGTAGATTTGTTTTAATGTGTTATACCCCAGATAGGAATCCCATGGAGCCCATTTGTATGAACTGACTGTAAAGACTTTGGCTCCATGTCGATTAAACTGTATTCGTGTGGTCTGAGCGCAATTCACTTAATAATGTGCGCTCAGACCTGAGCTATCTGGGGATATGTGAAATGTCTGTGTTTTATGTATAAAAGGTGACTTTATGTATTTTAAAGTGTTTTGTGTCTTTTTGCAACCATGTGCTTAATGGAGTCTTGTGTCTGTCCTGGGAGATAATTGAATTACTTATCTCCAGGATAGAAGACTCTGAAACTGGTTTGGGCCAGAAAGCCATGCTTCATTTAGTCACAAAGGACTTTCCCTTAACTTTTGAACCCCTGGTCTGATTCATGCCATTTTTTAATATGTTGTTCCCCTGAATGGATTGATTATGAATATGTAATTTTATGTGAATGTGATGTATGGTTTTAGAGTTATGAAAGTTGGGTAGAAAGTATGTTTTAACTGTATGTATAATTGAGTTTCCTCTCAGGATAAGGGGAGGGAATATGTGGGATGTAACTGTGATGTGATTGGTTGTTTTATACCTCCCTGTGGGCGGTCCTGTATTTGCAAGACTGTAATAAAAACCAGGCTGGGTGTGCCAGCACCTCAGACCACTGCTTGACCCTCAACACGGAGCCTTGTCTCGTCTTTGGGGATTTACTGTATGCTGCTAAGGACTGATTGCCAGGAGTGTAAGCTGAGCTTTTTCCTGTTCGTCTGCTAGCAGCTATTTGGGAGGTTCCAGTTCGGGAGTTGGAGTGCTATTTTGTATCCAGTTTGGGAGTTTGGTGTTCTGCAGTAGCTGTGCCTGTATCTCTGGAAAGGGGGCCGATCACCTAAACGGTTTTTACCCCTTGTGTGCAAAACGGTCCGTTACAATAGGGCGACCTGGTGGATCAGGGAGGCGTTTGTGAGTTTTAGGGAGGAAATAGAAAATCGGAATCACTGGATTTTTTTGGAATAAAAATTCAAAGTTTTTTGAGGATATGATTCCATTATCTCTAGCCGTAATCAAAATTTCCTTAAGTTCTAAATTATACAACGGCATAGGATTATTCTGCAGAGTAATATAAGTTTTTTTATCCCCTAAAATGTTAAGGGATTCCTTCAAATAGTAAGACAAAGTCATCAACACTATACCTCCTCCCTTATCAGCCTCCCTGATCACCAGGTCCTCTCTTTCCATAAGATGTTGTAAAATCGCTCCTTCCCTTTTTGTTAAATTAAAGGGGCATGATCCACTTTTTCTTTTTTTAACAATAGATTGGAAGGCCTGATCAACCATATGTTCAAACGTTTCTAAGAAAGGGCCCTTGCTTTGAACTGGAAAAAAATGAGATTTAGGTTGAAACCTATAGTCTTCCCTTTCAGATACAGTATTTACTTCCCTCTCAGTTGTAGATGGATGTAAGAGGAAATGTCTTTTTATAGTTAAAGAGCGTATAAACTTTTTAAGATCTATATAAAGATCAAAGTCATTCGCCTTTTTATTAGGGGCAAATTTCATCCCTTTCGAAAGTAGGTCTATCTCCTCAGATGTAAGTGGAATTCCAGTTAAATTAAAAATACCTCTACCCCTTTCCTCCTCATTAATAAGGGGGGCAGGACTGAGACTCTGATCCAGTCCTCTGTTCTCACCCTCTTGTGTGGTGAATCTTGATATAGAGGGGTAAACCTGTTGGCATGCTCCCAAGTTTCGGTTCTTGGACGAAAATAATTGGTTATGAATTTTTCTTTTGGGCCCCTGTGTCTCCCTTGAAAATTTATCTCCTGTTCGTTAAATTGTGTAGGAGCCCTAAACGTATCCGTTTGATTGTATGTGGTCTGAGTACGGGATCTTACATTCCCCTCCCTATCTGGCGTGGGTCTCCTAGGGGAGGCGGGTCTCTGTCTGTTCCAAGTTCTGGGATGATTAGTAGATCTGCCATCCTTAGGTGCAAAATTCGCCCTATAATTAGTTCTAGATCTTGAGTTACTCCTTGTTCTATTAGGTGTTCTTGGAATCATTTTTTTAAAAGGAACATAGCGTGATTTTTTCTTATTAATTTATTATGAGTAGAAAAACTATTAGTTAATTTATCCTCTTTATCCCTGCTATACTTCCTATTTTTTGTTTCAGCAATATTCTCATCAAGTTTTTTAATATTCGTTTGCAAGATTTCATCCCTCTCTTTAAAATCCCTTCCCTCTGTATTAATGGGAGGATTGGAATCAAGTTCAATTAATTCAGCTTCCAATTTACTCTGTATTTCTTTAGAGTTTCTAATTATGAGTTGTATTAGCTGAAAAGAACAATTAGTGAGGATTTCATCC